CTACTATTGAAGGACTAGGGAGATCCAGGTTCATGGCTATCCTTAACCAGGGAAGCTCACATTTTATTTGAGGTCCATTCCATCTCTCAGCCCAACCTACCTTGCAAAGTATTATTATCTTTTTTTGCACAGTCAGCCAGATGTTTAGACTGGATTTGGCGTTTTTATCCACCAATGGAGTCCTTCCCAAGGACCTGGGATAGAAAGATGTTGTTGTTTGATGGTGTTAAAGGTATTGTCATACATTGTAACAATGTATTATTATTATTATTATTATTATTATTATTATTATTATTATTATTATTATTATTATTTTCTTGGTTGCCAAACTAGTGGACTCTGAGCAGGTATAAAACAAAATAAGTAGCTGTTCAAGAAAGAATTGGAGGAAGGAACACTATGAATGCTGCCCTGGGTTTTGACAGGAAAGTGGGGGTATAAATCAATTGTCCAAAAATAATTATGGGTCATAAAACAACCTGGAAATCCCAACTCTCAGAGGATACCAAAATAATGCTCACTTGGTGAAATGTCTAATGCCTGACATTTGCTACTATGTGCCTCTTGTGGGCTTCCAGAAGACCACTATGGGAGACAGGATGCTGAATCAGGTGGACCGCTGGATTAACTCAGCAAAGAGTGTTTGTGTCACCATCTAAATCAGTGTTTCTCAGAGTTGCCACAATTAAGAAACACTGATCTAAATGATTGAAGATGGAGGTGTAGGACCTTGCTTGAAAAAGAAAACTTAATTTCCTGATTCCAAAATGGATGTGGGAACACATTGCCATTAAGAGGAAAGAAATACGAACCCAAAGAACCTTCCCAGGAATGAAAATGCTTCCATTTTCCACCACAGGCCCATGTTCCATTTATCCACTCCCAGGCTCAGCTGCACTATTGTTCCACCAGGCATAAACGACTCTTAGATGCTTTGCTCTTGGCACTCAGCTCCTCTTGACCACAGCCCTGAAGAAGGATCTTTGTAAGCTCACCCATTCCAGCCTCTGAGTAACCCTTGACTGGCCGTCGGGTTGGAAAAAAAAACATGCCTTCTTCTTTCAATGGCGTGGTTGTTTTTCCATTTTCCCCGTGAGTAATGCTGCCCACCATGAAAAACCACCCAGCTTCTTCACACTCACCGAAGAAAGTCTGGGTGGTCACAAGACGTGGGATGCAGCCACGGTGCAAAAGCCGAGGAAGTCTTTGCTTGATCAGCGCCTGGATGGGAGGCCACCTAAAACCATCCAGAAGCTCGTTTGCATCCTACAGAGAAAGTCTAGCTTTGTGTAGCATGCATGTGGCCATGTTGGGACGCCTTGGTCTTGGCTTGGTTGGATGCCAATTGTGGTTTATTCAACAAATCATAGTTAAGCAATATGTGGTTTAGGAAAGTGTGTGAAACCTGCTTAGGGACATTGAGATCAACGTCTAGGTGTTTGGAGTTAACTTAGCTGTCAGGCCCAGCCCAAGAACAACAGTGAGACAGTCCAGTCGAGTACAGTTCCTTTATTTGCTTACACCTTATAGAGAGAATCTTGCCAGACTAAATCTATACTACAGCAACTAGGGGATCTACCCTGGGAGATTCTAGGGAGTGGCTATTCTGAATCTCTTTCACTTCCCACACTCCTGTTGTGGACTCAGCTGCCTCTTGCCTCCTTTTCCTTCCTGGAATGCAGCCCCTCCTTCCTGACAGCCTTGATCTCCCACATCACTCTCCTCCTCGTAGATACCTTCCATCACATCAGCCTTTCCTCTCCCTTCCCTATTTTTGGTCCCCAAACTACTTTTTTCCTAGCATTTGCCCTCGGATGTGGCTTGTTCTCGTCTCATCATGGTTTCCCTTTGCTCGGTGCAGAGGGTGTCCTTTCTCCTCCCACAGCAGCTTTCCTCCTTGGTCTTTTCAAGCAGGTGCATTAGTCAGGCAACCACAACAGTTTCCAGCTTTAAATTTTTAAAGACCACTAACGGAATGTCTAAGCAAGCGGTAGAGAGCAACAGCAAAGGCGGAACTGAATTTGGCAACAATTTGTATTTTTATGCACATGCTTTTAAAATAAAGTTATTGTGCCCCACTGGAAACTGTGACATTGCCTCGTGACTCCCTCGACATATCCAGGCAGTTTTCTTAGTAGCAATACAGGCATGGTCAGCCTTGTTTTCTTCAAATAACTTTTTTTGAAAACCTCCCAGTCTAGTAAACAATCCTTGGCTTTTTTGGTGGTGTGGTTTGGTGCTTTCTCTCTCTCTCTTTCTCTCTCCTATTCTGGCTTGTATTTTTGAAGACTTGCCCTGAAGTTCTATCCTCTGGTTCCATTGAATGATAGCGTCATAAACAGCGGTAAGCTGAAACCTGGAGATCGGTAACAAATATCCCGGGGCTCTAATAACTCACAAAGGGAGACTCTCAGATGATCTGCAAAATTGGTGCATAGACCAGAGCAGACAACAGAAACCAGGAAAATGAGAAATCATTTCTTGCAGTTACCTTTCTCAGCTCAGAAGGTGAAGATACTCAAGGTCCACTCAGTCTATGGCTGTCTTGATAACCAGCATAAATGGGCTCTAAGTCAGACCTATCCCTGGACAGGAGCGGATGAATTGATGCTCTGTTGGAGGAATTTTTTTTGAGAGCTGCATGGAAGAGCTGTGCCCCTTCTGGTACAAACTTGCTGAATTCAAGGAATGTGCTTGGCAGAATGTGGGCTTGATTAAAATACGATGGCTTTTGCAAAACTTGCCCAGGTCAAAGGTCAGGATACTTGACCGGGTATCTTAGATCAGGGTTGGCAGTCTCAGTCAGTCTGGGTGACACTCAGATTTTTCTAAAAAAGAGATTATTGAAAGTGATTATGGGGAAGTAGGCACAGTTGGCTGCTTTAAGAAAGGAAGCTGATGTCTGAAATGCCATGGAGAGTGCAAGAATAATAAAATCTTTGTAAGCACTCTTTCTGGGACAAACTGCAGCTTTCTGCTTTGCTGAATAGGGAGGTTTTGAGTAGTTGACACTGTGTGTTCATTGGCCTCTGGCTTCTGTGTAGATCAGGAAGCTAGGAAATCTGTCCCTGGCACGTGGCAAACATTTCATGCATCATGTATGCATGTTTAATAACATCCCCTCCCTTACAGTATCTGGGCCATGTCTTCAGCACATCAGCCCGAACGGTGGAGCAAAGCAAAAAGCCACCACAGTTTGATGTGCTTTGCACACCCTGCCCCTTTGGTTGTACAAACTGGAGACACCTACAGCAGTGGAGACATAACAAGTTGGGAGCCAGGAAGGAGGCTGGCATCAACACAACTGGGCTGGAACTTGGGGCTGGATGGGACAGGAAGGCAGAGTGGTGCTAAGCAAAACAAATACCTCCACGGTCTGAAAATAGAGTTTAGTAGCACGAATTACATGGGTATGTATTGGTCACTCAAAGCACCCGGGGACTTTTGGACTATGAACATCGAAAGTTGTCCCCTAGCCGAAGCATTAGTTTACTCAGCCCAGTAAAAGCTAACTTCGGATGGTTGGATGTGCAAAGTTCAAAACCCAAGATCACTGAGGAATTTGGATCAGGGTGCAGAATATATCCCATGAGGATGGGCTTCAATTTTAGGAGTAAATGTTAGCCTATTTAGTTCCTGAGCATCAATCAGGTAGAATTGATCTACAGATGTCACGTTCCACTATTACCAAGCCATGCAAAAATGTTGTGTTCTTCTTTTAGATCTTTGCCACATGCCCAAGTAGAGCACCCAAGCGTTATGTGTCCTGGCCTCCTGAAAATGCCGCTCCACGTTGTAATTAAATAAAGCTTCCTTCAGCATCTAGGTTTGAATAAAGCCTCCCTGGGTACCAATGCAAGGTTTTCTTTTCTTTCTGGCTGGAGGGTGTGGGTGGGAGAGGGCAGCACCTGGCCTTCAAAAGGAGAGTCCCCCCCTCCCTACTGCTGGGATTGCTTTTCTTTTGTCAACAAAGCATTTGTCGAATGGCAGCTGCCACACGGTTGTTTATCGGCCAGCCTTAAGCAGAAGAGCTCAGAGGCCTTTGGAGACTCAGGTTGAGGGATTATCTTCCACCCTGGACTGTCACTTAGAGGATTCCCTGATTCATTCATCACGGCTGACTCAGAGGACCCAAGGGAAGACTTCGGTTTTTGTTCCCTTGGGATCATGACACAATCCCTCCAAAGAAGTAAAAAGCCAGATTGGGATCCTTTAGCAAATGTGATGTGGTGATGCCTCCGCTGGAGAATTGCATCTCTTCTTCCCCGGATAATGAGCCGCACATGTTTTAGATGACTGAGTTCTTAACTCATTGTGTTGCCAAACTGGATGGATTTGGGGTGATAGTGGGAGAGGTTCTACCAGCCTGACTAACTAAAGTTTGATCAGGGTGCCTCCTTGGGAGAAAGCTTTTGACGGAAAGGAATTCAACCTGTCCAGATGTTTGCCTCGCTGCTCTCTTCCTGTTTGCTGATGTTGGGCTGAATGAAACGTAACACTGATAGCCAAAATAAGACAAGGCAGAAAGAAATGTCTAAAATCATGCACGGGGTGCTAAATAGGAACAAAGAAAAGTTTATCTCCTTCTCTCCCATGGTCACGGATGTGACTCAGGGTCATCTGTTGAAACAAAATGCTGGGTGATTGAAGGTCAGCGAATGTTTATGATGGGCTATTATTATTACCTAATTACTTCTTGGGATCATTTGTTTTTCCAGTAAACTGGAAGAGTGGTGTGGTTAGGTGTGGCTGTTGGCTTTAGATCCAACTCTGCATGTAAGTGTTGGTTGGCTTTTCCCAGATAGTTGGGTCAAGGAGAAGAAAAACCATCAAGGATGAAACTGGGTCCCATCCTTGAGCCAGTGGCTCTGCCTGTCCTCTCTTTTTTCACCCTTTTCTCCCCCCCCCTTAAAAAAATCTGGACCTTTCCTGAGCTCTGAGTACAGGGAATGCCTAGCGAAGCAACAGAGAAAGATTCGTTGTGGATCTAAACCACTGACATGAATAAGGCTTCTGGAGATGAAGGTAGTAATTAACAGTCTAAGATCAGCAGCATAGTAGCCTGGAATGGAGGTCATTTTGTTGGAAAGGAGGAAATGAGAAAGAAAGAGCTGGTGGATGGCCTGCTCATTTGAGGAAGGCTGAAAATGTTGTGTCATATCTCAATAGAACACTTGGAAATGCATCATTTGGGGGAGAGATCAAAGGAAGGTGTGGGTGTATAGTACTGCTGTACGTGCTGATTATCTCTCTCTCTCTCTCTTTGGTTGCCTACAAGTCAGTGTGGACTCCTGGAGACTGCCTGGAGGAGTCCCTGCAGTTTTCTTGGCAAGATTTCAGGAGTGGTTTGCCATTGCCTCCTTCCTAGGGCTGAGAGGGAGTGACTGGCCCAAGGGCACCCAGCTGGCTTTGTGCCTAGAACTCACCATTTCCCTGTGTCTAGCCTGATGCCTTAACCAGTACATCACTGGCTCTCCAATGATATCCCTACACATGGCTAAATGATGACTGTAATTAAGTAGCATTGCACTACAGTGGAATGGAGGGAGGAAGTGGTGGTGCTTGGTGGATCTCCTTAGTATTTGGATGGGCGGTCATTAGGAAATACTAGGATGGTAGGCTGGAGTGGGAGGTTGAAAGACACCTTGGAATAAGGCAATGGGGGGTTCTGCTGCCAGGCAGCTACGTGGACGTGTCTATGAAGCCTTCCAGTTTTGCTCAAAGGGAAGGGACCTTCTGTAGAATGGGATATCTGACCATTCGAGCTGAGGTTGTGGCTTGTTTAGCCAGGGTGGCTGATCTCTCCAGAACCACTGGATGTTCCAAATTCCTCACAATGGAAAAATAGAAAATATGCCCAGTCCACTGGCTGCTGTATGTATTTATTATTATATTTATACATTACATTGGGAGTTGGCCAATAGAAAGACCATTGATTTATAGCTTTTGGAAGGATCAGACTTGTGGGTCAGATCTACCTGAGTTTTCTTTGGATGAGATGCTCAAATACTTTCCTTAATCTGAGCTCAATCCTGAATTTCCCCTTTTTCTCTTTTATAGGGGAGAAAAAGTTCCCGTTTGATACCACGGAGAAACATATAGCTGTCTACCATGAACAGGGTTCTTCTTCTGTGTTTGTGGGAGCAGAAAACAAGCTTTACTATTACAACTTTGAGAACTCCTCCAGACTGGTGGTAAGGAGACTGGGAGTCGGGGTGTGAGGTTTATCCTCCAAATTTTAATTTTAGAGTTGAAAGAGCCTCTAATCCAAACTCTTGAAGATGCGCCAGATTCTGGAAAACACTTCTTATCCCTCAACAATTATTACTGACTTCCTTTTTCCCATCTCAGAATCATCACTTCCCCTGGGAATGGTTTAGAAACCTGCAAGGTGTCGGTAACTAATTGCCCTGCTGCAGCAACATGAGATGGGTTGTTATGTTTACAACCAGGGTGGAAAGTTTTAGCATCTGCATAGAGCTGTTACAGCATGGAGTGCACCCTTTCTGTGGGCCTGCTAGCCAGCCGACTAGCTATCTTCTCCTCTAGAATAGATCTTCTCCTCCAAATTCCCTTCCAACAACTAGGCTTGATACTAACAACTAGGAACATGCTTGATACTAAGGGGTCCCTCAAGATGTTATCTGTTGAAGCTTGATTGGATCAGTAACTCACCAATATATTGTTTGAAACAAACCTTTGTCAAGGTTGATTTCCTTCCTTGAGGAGCAGCTTGGCTGAGATAGGAACAAACCCATCAGTTCCTCTCTTCCATGTGCTAGAATAAATCTACACAGTAAAAGCTGAAGAGGCTTGGATTCCTTTTTTTATGTTGACAGTTTCTGTACAGAGGGTGGAAATGCAATGCCAAGTCCTTCAGCAGATGGTCTGGAATTTAAAAGAACGTACATGTAATTATTTCTTCCCCATCCCTCTTTTCATACAGGAGCATTTTGGTGTAAATAGAAACAAGTCCATGTGCGAAAATCCCGTAAGTTTGGACTTAATAGCTCAGTTCACCCTTCCCCATCCCCATCCCCATCCCCCATCCCCCACTCCCCTTCCCCTTCCCCTTCCCCTTCCCCTTCCCCTTCCCCTTCCCCTTCCCCTTCCCCTTCCCCTCCCCCTCCCCCTCCCGCTCCCCTCCCTCCCCTCCTCTCCTCTCCTTCATATTTTCTTCCTCTCTTTTTCAGGAAGAAGTCACCAATTATCTCACATTGGTCGGGAAGTACCAGGGCAAGGTGTTGATTTGTGGTACCAACGCCTGCAAGCCAACCTGTTGGAACTGGGTACGGTCCATGGAGATGTCCTCTTCTCTTTGTGTGACCGGTTGGAAGATAGGCAAAAGGAGACCTGGGGATATCAGCTTTGCTCTGTTTTTTCTGTCCTCTGCAGGTGGATGAGAGGAAAGAACCAGGAATGAGTGCCCAGAGCTTAGCTCCCTTTGGCCTCGATAAAAATGCCCTTGTCCTTATTGATGGTAAGTCTGCAGAAATAAATGAAAGCTCATATTTATGAATCTACCAGTGAACTTCTCCAGATCATTTGTTCTGAAGCCTCCTTTCGCCCAAAGCCACTGTAGAATTAGCTTTACATTCTCTATGATGTTGTAAAAGTTCTTGGGATGGCTTTGGGATCCCCTTTTAATGTTGTAAGTATTGCAATACACAAATAGGATGATGTACTTTAGATTGTCTTTCTTATTTCTGAAAGCCAAGTTCCCTCTTGACAAGTACATCATTCTGTTTTGAAGGATGGTTGTAGACACTTCTCGCTGCACGATCCCCATGATGGAATCCCCAGGGGAAATGCCATAACTTCCTTCTGGGAACTCTTTTTGGAATCTGTTGGGTGAGAGGTTTCTGGCTTGGTTTCTTCCTCATCTTCTTTCTTGCCTTATAGGCAATGACATCTATTCTACTATCAAGAAATACCAATACAACGGGCGGATCCCTCGTTTTCGGCGGGTCCGAGGATCTACAGAACTTTACACCAGTGACACAGTAATGAGCAGTAAGTGTTGCAGTTGTGGAAGAGACAGTTGAGCAACTCGGAGTCCTGATTTCTAATCCTTGCGAGTATCTGACAATTTTACAGTGTCTGGCAATGAGGATTAAGGCAACATATACGTTATCCCTGTCCTGTGTGTGTGAGTGTTTGGGTATTTATATACTCACCCTCACAAACTGATGCGTATGCATACAGACACATATCTATATACAGCTGGGTTGTGATTAGTGCAAGTTCGAATAATGCAATATTCAATTTAGTGTGAATTGTAAATTAATACCAGGTTGTGTTTAATGTGACCCAAAATTCACTTAATAGCACATGTGCAGTTGAGGCTAGTGTGTGCACAGTTGCGGTTGGCGTTAGATGCTGCTAATCTGTGTATGTGCAAAATGGAGAAGAGGAAGATTCCATCAGAGGAAAACAATACAAGTTTTAAAAAGAAGCTTGTTATTACATTAGAGCAAAAATGTGATGTAATTGAACAACATGAGTGTGGTCATAGCAACGCTAAACTAGGATGAGATGTTGGAGTGGCTGAATCTACAGTAGAATTTTTTTGTCCTTATTTTGCTTTCTAGAACTACTCTGTGACTTTGTTAACCACAAACTGAAATTATAAGTATATTCTTCTTATCCTTTACTGGAATATTTCATGAATATACATATAAATATTTATGTTTACAATTTTTCATTGCCTATTTCCAACAAGCTGGAACCAATTACCATATTTTCCATAGAAATATCACTTTGAATAGTGTGAATTCAAACAATGCAACCATGTCATGAGATTAATTAACCACGCTAATCGAGAACTACCTGTAGACAACAATGAATATACATACTTATATGTATTTGTAGATGGTGTTCAATAATTGTCTGAAAGTTTCCTTTATGTCCCTGAAGACTTATCTATTTTTAAACACGAGTCATAAGATTCTTTCAGTGAACTATGAAATGATGTATAAGAAAGAAAGAATGCTTTACCTTCAAGAAGTAGTTTGTGAGAACGTGACCTGAACTGAGGGTTGGTTGGATGGCAGAATGGCTAGTCAAAAAAACCTAACTGGTGCAGCCAGTTGATAAAGTTCCCAGATCCCCTTTTCAAGGGGGCTGAGGGCTACCGTTTCAATTTTCCCATGGTGTCCTGCATATGCAGATAATGGGGCATTGTGGGGCCTTTTTAAAATGGGAGTTGCCAGCTACCCAGCTGGTCTGGATCAACGCTGCTGTGACTGTAACTCATTGGAGGGTGGCATTGCCAAAGATGCCTCTAACCTCAAAGGGGTTTATCTTCCCTTCTGTAAGGGAAGCCGATTCCACCATTCGCAAGACTTGGTTCTTTCAAGGGCAGGGAGACCAAGGGTTTTCCAGCCCCCACCAAGTAGAGGGTGAGCTTTGGGGTTACAGAGGAAGAAAGGAAGTTTAACACAAACACAGCCGTTGCCCATCGGAGTTAGGTGGAACAAGTAGGAGCCGTGGAAGTGCCTCCTGTGTAATTAACGTCATGGAGGATGAGTTCTTGAACACTGGAAATCCCTGATAATGAGCCTCAGATGATGCAACCTTTCTATCCTGGGTCCCTCCGGAGGACCTTTCCACTCCCAGCTCAGGGGCCTTTCCAAACAGAACAAAAGTACCTGACTGGGCTTTCTCCTCTGCAGGGAATCTGGTGTTCCCTCTATTTACAAACTCAGTCTCTGATGTGATGGAGCCAAAAGGGCACTTTCCATGCTCAGGAGGGTAGTCAAGCTCAGAGAATGCCACGGATTTCAGCAGTGCCAGTTCAGCTTCGGAGGTGGAAAAACACTTACCTCTTGCCTAAACCTTGTATGATGGGTTGGTTGGAACTTGGGGAATTGAGGGAGGGCTTAGCATGTGGTGCAAACCTAGCTCATTTGAAGTGTTGGTAATGTTTGATCTGAGGATCAAATTAACCTGTTTTCTGTGTTTGCACAACTTGGTAAGCCCCCAAAGCTTTACCAAGGTTAACCCTAACCAAGCTTACTGTGTTATATGAATGCACCTGACCAATTTTTCCCCTGATTTGGTTAAACATATTGCATGAACAGAAAAACATTTGTCAGTAACCAGTAACCAGACATGGGTATTATGTGAAGGTTCTGAGCTGAAGGACTTGCCCAGGCTCACTGCTTTCTTTCTAATCTCACTGGCTCTCCCTCTTCCCTCCTGTCAGATCCACAGTTTGTGAAGATTGCAGCAATAAAGCAAGAAGAGGCCTACAATGACAAGATCTACTACTTCTTCCGAGAGGACAACCCTGACTGGCCAAGGAATCCTTTGGCCCCAAAAAAGATCTCCAGGGTGGCTCAACTGTGCAAGGTCAAGAATGGGGGTTGTGGAAAGGCTCCTATGATGCTGGGCTATGTTGGTAGCTTACTTTTGGTGTGAACCAAGTCCTCATGGCTGTCAGCAATCACGGGCGAATGATGACATGTGCACTGTGATGCAAACAATGTGCCTCCCATAATTGCATCAGACATCACAATATGTAGAGGCCATTGTGTCAATGGTCAATGGTATATCATTGCATCAAGGATGTAATGATGTTATGATGCACTTGCCATTTTGACCTCCATGTGGCTTGCTGTGGGCCCCTGCAGCAGCCGATGGGGTGTACGGCTTAGAACGACTGTTGAATCCAGTCACTGTGGCTTCTTCAATCGAGCATTGCTTAGCAGAATGCATCAGCCAGCCTGTGTCTTCTATTCCCCTAAAAGTTTTGATATCTGAACTGTAGATTTGTGCAAAATGAATGGGAATGGTGGTGAAATGACATGCCACCCATCCAAAGCATCTTGGATTAGTTTTGGACCCTGAGTCATAAATGGCTTCTGCAAGCGTCAAGTTTTCTTTTCCATTTTCAAAAGAATTGGAATGGCCACACATCTGGCTCAGGAGCAGTTATTTGCTGTTCTATAAGCCATTTTTTCCCTTCTTTCTTCAGGGAGACAAAGGGGGCAGTGGTTCCTTCTCTGCAGCCAAGTGGACAACCCTCCTGAAGGCCACATTGCTCTGTGTGGACTCTGCTACTAACCGACACTTTGACTGGCTTCAAGATGTCTTTATTGTTGAGTCGGACCAGTGGTCTCAGACCAAGATCTACGGGCTCTTCTCAAATGAGTGGTGAGTGTTTTGCTTCTTGGCCATAAATCACCACCAGGGGACCTTTGGCTGGCTTTCAATATGGAGGTGGAGAACATTCTTCCCCTGCAGGAGCTTTTCTCCCTTCTTCCCTGTCTTACCAATATGGCATGGAATTAGATTGTGGGCAAGGGCCTCACCTTTATTTTCAACGAGAAATGGAATAAAAATAAAATAGTTCCCAATCCTGAAAGGCTGGTTCCTTGTGTCTCATTTCCACAGGGGTTACTCAGCAGTCTGTGGCTACTCTGTTGGTAACATCAGTGAACACTTCCGAACATCTCCCCTGAAAAACTACAGTGGAAAAATCCCAGCTGTGAGGCCAGGACAGGTAAAAGGCCGTGGGGGATGTTGGTTGGAAAAGTTATCTTTTCAACATGAAGTCAGTTTGGAGTCTACCCGTTAACTAAGAGAGGATGCAATGTAATGAATCAAAGCCTAGGACAATGTTCTCAATCCTTTTCCCACTCATTTTTCTTTATTACAGATGTAGAAAAGTATGCCAGAAATATAAAACCACTAATTAATTTACTTCGGTTTGGTTTATGTTGAGGCTTCAGCTTACCCATATTTAATTTCATTTGTTCTTAGTCATTTACATGTGCACAGAGTTTGCATGCCTTCAGCAAAACATTTGTTTAAAAATGCATTGCTTGCCATACTCTATCCAGTCCAACTTACAGGGAAGCTTTAGCTCCAGAAAGTGAACACCGCACAAGTTTTCCTTTCCTCTTTTTCTCTCACAGTAGTCACACACATAACATACATGAGAGTTCTCTTCTCAACACTTCTCTACTCCAGTTTAAAGCTCATCCCTATCCATATCACACAGGAACAAACTGGGTCTGTCTGTCTGTCTGTCTATCTATCTACAGTATCTCTCTCTCTCTCTCTCTCTCTCCACCCACCTCCTTCTTTCTTTGAACCACCCCATCATCCATCTATCTTTCCATCCGTCCCTCCATCCCACCTCTCTCTCTCTCCATCCATCCACTTACCCACTGTCTTCTATCAATCTATCTATCCATCCATCCATCCATCCATCCACCCACCCACCCA